AGAAACCAACTCACCGATGAGAGAAAAGCGCCATAGAAAAAAAAATTGCACACGCGCTCCCGAGCGGAGAAAAGTAAGTCCGCACCAAGAAAAAGGGGGAGACCCCACAAGCACAACTTAGGGACTCACTAAACCTTAAAAGAATAAAACATCCCGAAAATTGTCAAAAAGAATAATGTAAAAGGTTAGCAAGTATTGTCAGAAAATAGGCTGCCAGACAAACAAAAAAAAGTTTGTTAGCAAATAAGTATGTAAATGAGGGGAGTGATCGCTCTCAGAATTGTGATGTCACCTCACAGTATAAAGACTGAACCTCAAGTGAAGATGGTCAAGATGAGCTTCTGTTAGCAACGAGCGTGGTGAGCTTCGTAGCAGCAAACGAGAGAGGTGTCCGATAGGATAAAGTAGTTCCAAGGCAATTTTGAAGTTATTCGATTTGTGGATCGACGATTAGAGAAAGTCTTGAGAGTTGAGGAAAAAGGTTCCTAGTATATTGAGGTGACGATTAGGATCTTTAATTCATAAGAATTATTGTATATAAGTTAAGTCTTTGATTTTTGTCGAGTTCCAAAGGGGAATAGATTTAAGTTAGAAAATAGATTGATTTGAGTTTTGTCGGGTTGATTCTTATTGACCTTCATTGAATAAATTGTTATTTGATTTTTTACTAAATTTTGTATATAGTTTATTTGTATTTGTATTTGTAAATTTTGTTATTGTTCTCATATATATATTCTCATGGATGATCCAAATGAATGAGTTAACATAGCTGTATCACAGTTTGGACAGAATTTTCACTTCAAATTATAAAGTACTTATTTCAGACTAAAGGAATTCTGTGAGGACAAACAGACCCACATTAAAGTGTTATTTTAAATTTTTATTATTGGGAAATTCAATCATCTAAATTTGAGTGTTTTATCAAGTTAGGCTAAAAGCCATAAAAATTATTTCCCATGGAGTTGGTTCCTTGTTGATCCAGCTAGTCAGCGATGTGTCACCCGGAACTTTCGAAAGTGTGTCCATATTGGATGCCAGACCATTAACAACAACCTCCTGACCTCATGGGAAAAACCCAAGAGGAATAACAAGAGAAAATGGAAAAAACACCCGAATTCAGTCGTCTTCCAATGTCCGTCCACCCAAAGTCCACCCAAAGTAAGGATTTTAATACTGTGACAAAGATCGGGCCTATTTAAGGATATCATCCCCTCTTCCATGCCTCCACACCATAGTGCTCCTGTTACCAGACCCTCTAAAGACCCAGAACTATTTTGAGCGAATATTCCATCAGCGGTGTCATCTGACCACAGATCTTCGACCCAAAAGAAAGGCATTTACCAACCCACAATTCGTTTGTAAAATCTCTCTCTCTCGAACGGCCTAGTATAATTAGGGGCTATGCCAGAAATCAAATATATCTGTATTTTCTTTTGTTATAATTAAAATTGTTATTTATTTGTTACTATGGAGTCCGAGTGAGTCACTTCCTCGTCTCTCTCCTCACCTCTACTCCGAATCGAACCGCTCACCCGCTACCGCTCGCGTGACATAATGCCGCAATTTCCGAGTCCTGTGAGACTCGGTGTGTCACATCCTGACGTGGTGTCAGAGACACCGACCCTACGGTCACAATTCCTTTACATTTAAACCCCTACATCTCCAGTCAGGACAACAGTACAGTTATGAAGTAATGGGATTTCGAACTATCCAAGTTCAAATTAATGAGGATTTCCTGTATCAATAATGAATCAATGTGATAAAATGTGTACTTTTCTAATTTATTCTAAAATCTTGTATTTTACAAACAATTACAATTTGCATAACATATTTCTGTAATTTTTAATTATTTAATATCAATTAAATACAGTGGTACCTCAGGTTACGAACGCCCCAGCATACGAAATTTTCAGGATACGACATGAAATTCGAACATATTTTTGCTCCACGATACGAACAAAATCTCACCATACGACGTTACATTAGTTCGCATTTTTCATTTGTTTTTCTTACTACAGTTATTTTTTTAATGTATTACTTGGCTTTAATTTGAGTATGTTTTTCGCATTGGAACGAATTATTTGGTTTTACATGTAATCGTATGGGAAAAGATGATCCACCTTACGACATTTTCATGATACGATCTCAGTTTCGGAACGGATTAATTTCGTATCCTGAGGTACCACTGTACATTTGAAAGTAATGAGAAATCAATTTACCAATACTCTTCTACTTAAATACTCTTAAAGGAAGATCACTCATTCACATCTTTTATTCTTTATTACATCTTTGTGTCTCGTTTTAAGCAAAATTTCACTTTCTGCCTTATCAGCATTAAACAAACACTCAAAACATTTCTGACTTCTTAAAAACTTAAACATTAACCTTTTGTTTATTAATTATTATTTTAAAAACATTAACCTTATATTTAATAAACAAGATATTTTCTGGGTGTGAGAAATTGAGCCGAAATGTTATATTATGTTCAAGGGCCATTATATTTTGAATTTTTTTCCATATTTAATGAGTTGGTATTGTTGAAAGGGCAAAAACCTGCACCCTTCAATCAAATTTAATCTCAATTAAAAAATAAAAAAAAACTGACAGCTCTGTATGTGCTTGTTGTTGTTTAAATCTAGGTTCCGGTCAAAAGCAGCATCTACAATTTAGTACATCGCTATGTCACAGAGTAATTTATTTGACATAATAATACATTTTTTTCAAATATTGTATGGGAAAATTGTCAATGAGAGGGAATTGTAAAACGATTCTAGCAAATAAGAATGTAGATGAACATAGATAAATGTTAGAAACTAAGCATATACTGTAGATGATCATACAATGATGTTAAAAATAGGACATCACATTCGATGTTTAAAAGACTGCAAAAGGAAAGAGTAGGTCTAATTCCCAGTTGATGCAGAGTATGGCGAATACATGACTGGTTTGAGAAAAGTTGCAATTGTGAAGTAGATTTTTAAGTTAGAAGTTAAGAAGCATTTTTGTCCAATAAAAATAGTTAAATCTTGCTTTTATTGTTTAAAGTGATAATTAATTTTGTTTAGAACTGACTTTTCTCTACATTTTTTATTGTATTGTTTAATGCATTAATGTTAATTAAATTTGTTTAATTACAAAAACTTGTTTATTGTTTAAAAACTGTTGAAATTTTTGTGAACAATAAAATGGTAATTGTGATACATTTTGTTAATCTTTGGAGTTCAACTATCTAATAAATTAGATATTTGTAGCAAACTTTTATGGCTTCTTGAAAACTTGAGTGTTTGTTTAATTGATTAATTTATAAAACTGTTAAAAGCTGGAAAATAATGTAACATCTTATAGACTCCTTTTCTACTTACTCCAGTAGGTACTTGATTAATTTATATAAAAAATCATATTTTAATCTTAATGGGCACATTCTGTAGTAAAGCCACATTTTTAAAAGACAGTTCAGCTAATTCCACTTTAAGTTGTCACTGTAGCGCTAGTGCAGTAAGGTTCACAAGCACTGAAGACAGAAGTTTAGATGGCTGCCACTGTAAATTAATGCATATTACATATGTACCTCAAATGAAGATTGTGATCTACAAAAATCTATTTTAAACTGGTTATCAAAAAAATTAGAAATACAACTTTTCACATAAGCTTCTATTCCGACATAAATACTTTCAGAATTATTAGTGATGGTGAATGCACATCTTCTATTGCTGTTGTTTACTATAAAGGTAATTGCATTTTTATGCAATATTGAATTTTCTTAATCACTGCCTCTGATATTTTACAGTCTTGGTAACAATTCCATGTCATTTTTGACTAAAAACTTTTATTCAAATTAAACAATGTATACAAAGAACCAAATAACAATGCTGAGTAGCTGAGATGTAGAAGTGTTCCTATGAAGGCAGAAATTGCTTAAAGCACCCTCTTGCAGCTTAAGTAAAGCAGTTTTACCTTATCAATATTTCTTGTTTAACAAATTTGATCAAAACAACAACTTAAAATGCAATGCAGAAAAAGTATTTTATTCACATCAAAATTTACATATTTGAAAGAATTTAAAATTTTTATAATTAGTTAAACTAAACTGTAAACAGATGTAAATAATTAAACAAGTCATTTTGATGTGTTGAAACCTGAAATAATATTTGTAAAATTTTTTTATTAAAATATTAATTTACTTTCAAAAATTCTACTTGTAATATATNGTGTAGAATATGTAGCAGCCAACTGTGTGGAACACTGTCGAATGCTTTTCTGTAGTCAATATATGCCATGTGTATGTTTCTGTGTTGTTTGTGTGCTTGCTGTAGAATGACTGAATCTATTAGTAACTGTTCTTTGCATCCCCTGTGATTTCTACGGCAACCTTTTTGTTGTTCTGTAAGAATGTCGTGTTCTTCAACATCTATATATATAACCCATTCAAAGTGTCCGTCTGTCCCGTAACCGTTTGATAACGGACACTAGAGGCGCCCCTATCGTGTGTCATATTTCAAACATTCAAATTAACAATTTTAATTATTATTATTCATTTGGCCCATAAATTATTATTTGGTCAATATAACAATATAAATAATTCAGTATATTTGTAATAGGAATTTATTATTTCAGGGGCTTATATCTCGCGAAGGGTCACGAGTAGGGGTATGGTTCCTTTGACTTTATTGTTAGCACAGGGGGCTACAGTTTGGGAGGGTTGCCACCTCTTCATTCGGAGGGTAAATCTTACCATTGGGACTTTAACAGAGCTGTACAGCATATTGATAGGAACAAAAAAGTCAAAGGAACCATGTCTCATGAAAATTTGTAAATAACGCCCACTAGGGGGCGTCCCAGGCTACTAGTATCAATATATCCTTATAGGGAATAATGTTGACTTCTAAATTCATATTACATTTATGAATTTATTTTAATTTTATTGTCATCATTAATTTAAAAAGAAATAGTGAAATTACATGTTTTACCTTACCACAAATGATACACAGCAGTTACTATAGTTATATTTTATTGGCTCTCTCTTGCATTGCTGGTGTAGTTGTTGTGTCATCTCCACCTTGCATTGCAGGTGTAGTTGTTCTATCAGCTCTGCCTAGTGCTATAGATGCAGATGCTATTGTTGTTTGATCAGCTCTACCTAATCCTACAGATGCAGAAGCTATTGTTGTTGTATCATCTCTGCCAATTGCCCAATATGCAGACATAACTGTTGTTGTTGTATCAGCTCTGCCTACTAATTCACGTGCAGGTTCTGTATCATCCATATTTAGTTGTCCATGTCTTGATTCAGCTGCTTCATATGTAGATGCTGGTGAATGTCTAATTTGTTTAAATAGTAATCTTTGCAAATTAACATTATTATTATGTTCCTTTGCAGCATCAATCCTGCTTTCATAATCATTGTTATGTAAAAAGTGATTGGTATTTTTCATAAATTTCATCTGTAAAAATATTTAACAATATGATAAAACAATTATTTTTAATTGAAAGTATATAACTAAGAAAATTAGATATACAAATGTTTATATAAACTTCATACCAATTCATTATCTTTATCACTTTCTTTGGCTTTTATTAGAAAATCTACATACAAAAGTTTTGGAATTTATGTGTTGTGTTATCATATGAAATAACATTTAAGTAAAGTTAATGAATAAATAAAGAATATTATTAAAAATTTATCAANCCTCCAGGAATGCAAAAGAGAGCTGTCACAACACCTCCTCCAGGAATGCAAAAGAGAGCTGTCAGAACACCTCCTCCAGGAATGCAAGGGAGACCCAATAAATTTATCGTATGATGATGATATAACTACAATAACTGCTATGTATCATTTGTTCCAAGGTAACACATGTAATTTCACTATTTCTTTTTAAATTAATTTAAACAAAAACTTATATTAATGATGATAATAGAATTAAAATAAATTCATAACACCTCCTCCAGGAATGCAAGGGAGACCCAATAAACTTTTCGTATGATGATGATATAAGTACAGTAACTGCTATGTATCATTTGTTCCAAGGTAAAACATGTAATTTCACTATTTCTTTTTAAATTAATTTAAACAAAAACTTATATTAATGATGATAATAGAATTAAAATAAATTCATAAATGTAATATTATTGTCATTAGAACTCAACATCATTCCCTATAAAGATATATTCATATTTTGAATTAAACTGTAAACAATTATTTAAATATAATAAAAATTTTATATTAATTAATTAATTAAAATTAAATATATTGACTACTAGAATTTTTGAAAGTTAATTAATGTTTTAACAAAAATTTTATAATTATTATTTCAGGTTCCAACACACAAAAACGACTTTTTCAATTAATTACATCTGTTTACAGATTATTTTAAGTAATTATAAAAATTTTAAATTCTTTCAAATATGTAAATTTTGGAGTAAATAAAATAATGTTTCTGCATTGCATTTTAAGTTGTTGTTTTGATCAAATTTGTTAAACAAGAAATATTGGTAAAGTAAAACTGCTACAGTGGTACCTCAGGATACGAAATTAATTCGTTCCGAAACTGAGATCGTATCATGAAAATGTCGTAAGGTGGATCATCTTTTCCCATACGATTACATGTAAAACCAAATAATTCGTTCCAACGCGAAAAACATACTCAAATTAAAGCCAAGTAATACATTTAAAAAAATAACTGTAGTAAGAAAAACAAATGAAAAATGCGAACTAATGTAACGTCGTATGGTGAGTTTTTGTTCGTATCGTGGAGCAAAAGTATGTTCGAATTTCATGTCGTATCCTGAAAATTTCGTATGCTGGGGCATTCGTAACCTGAGGTACCACTGTATACTTAAGCTGCAGGAAGATGCTTTAAGCAATTTCCGCCTTCATAGGAACACTTCTACATCTCAGCTACTCAGCATTGTTGTTTGGTTCTTTGTATACATTGTTTAATTTGAATGAAAATTTTTAATCAGAAATGATGCACAATACTGCCAAGACTATAAAATATTAAGGCAGTCAGTTGAGAGAATTCAATATTGTGTAAAAATGCAATTACCTATTCAGTAAACAAGAGCAATTGAACATGTGCATTCACCATTACTAATAAATCTGAAAATGTTTTTGCCAGAATAAAAGATTATTAATAAATTAAATTATAGTGGGTAATCGGTTAACAAACACAATCCATTCCAAGACTTTGTTCAGTATCCGAATTGTTCATTAACCTATGGTTTATCATAGGTTTTTATGGAAATTTGATTAAATTGTTCTGGAGACCCCAAAAAATAAAAAATATATACTTACTTAGGCCAAGAATCCACTACCGTAAAAACAGTGTAAAACCCCTCGCCGTAGAAGCTTTTAATCACGTGACCCTGATATTTTACAGCTGAGCAGGTTGTAAAACCAGAGTAAAAGTGAGTTGAGCAGTGTTCAACTTTCAATGCAAAAACAGCCGTAAAGTGGTACCTTCCACCAATCAGAAGTCAGTGAAATCTAGGTCATTGTGACACGGTGCTAAAATGGTGGAAAACGAGCTTTTGTGTACATTCCCTCACGACTACTCTAAAATAGATCTGGAAAGATTTATCGAAAACATCCAAAAGTATTCATGTATCTACAACAATTGGTAACCTGATTATAATAATGGGTGACAAAGGAAAATCCTTCAATTTAGAGGAGTATATAATAAACAAGTAAAATGGCAAAACCGTATTTGGGACAAGACTATGTCTCAGAGATGAAATCACTTTGATGCTCAAGGCAGGTCTTGTTCTCATTTTCCTATCTTCTTTGATATTGCTGCTTTTGGGTGCGATTGTTCAAACTTCACTGGCCACGACCACGAGATTGTCCACGATGCATCTTTGATGAAATTAACCTATCTAATTTCAAAATTTCTCTGTTACGTGTCAGCCTGGGTTGAATTTTTGTAGATGCGTAACGAAAAGTTCCCATCTTTGAAAAAAATAATCATGGCTATTGTATCATCTAAAATTATTATTTTATTTCGCACAAACAATATACACTTTAACCCAATTATAATGTCATCGAATATAACAACAATCCTAATATAACGTCAAATTTTTATCGGTCCTACGATTTTACTATACTAGATAATGTTAAAAAAACCCACTTGTAACAACAAAAAACCATTTTAACATCATATTTGAAGCACTCTCAAATTTACAAAATTAGATTACAAATTTTATTTAACATAGAAGAAACTACGTGTTCGGTCCTAAGGTCAGAGTTCACTTCTTAGAATGAAGTGAACTCTGTGGTACTCTCCCCTACCTGACTTCGGTGGGGTGAGGTGGCTGTTTTGCCAATTTGTAGAAGAGGGTTGCCATTTTGTATTTTATTTTGATTCCATTCTCGGTCTTCTGACTACCTATGAGTCTGGATTTTTTTATGAGCAAATGATTTGGGCACCTAATAGTCTGTGCCAAATATCAACTCTTGACATGTACTCCTTCATACCTCTATGCTGGTAAGAACATCGGGCAGTACAGTTTTATAAACAAGACATAGTCTTGTCAAAAAGCTAATCTTATAAATGCTGTATATTATCTAATACAATAATAAAATGTTAATATATGAAAGTAAAGATATTATTTTTACTACATTTGTAATTATAGTACAGAAGAAACTCGTAGAATATAATCATTGTCTTTATATTGATATATCACGTATACAACCGTCTTCTGTTTCTACCAATTCACGTGCGAAGAAGTATTTACTTTTGATACTTGGGGCATCACTATCGATGTAAAAACTTTGTTAGCCGGACCTCCACCGCAATCCAGACGCAAATGCAAATAGGTCACGTGAATGAAAGCTTTTACGGCGAGGGGTTTTACACCGTTTTTACGGTAATGGAGTCTTGGCCTTACTACATTCATTTATAAGTAATAATAAAAGTACATATACACACAGTCTTGCATTTTTATTATTCATGTTTTTTCCGTTTGTGGGGGTTAAAGAATCTGTCTAATGTCGATTGCTTTTCTCTCTTTTTCAGAAGTAATTAATAGCATTTTCGTTGTAGAGATCCCTACGCCTATTAACCTCAACCTGGTTTGGATGCCATTCTGAGACCATTGTTCTGACATCCTCTCACTTCTTCAAAAGATCTTTAATAGCAGATATCAGCATTAATCCTCTTTTTCAGAACAAAACATATCTTGCAAAGTTTCTTGCTGTTCTTCATTTAAGAATTCTTAGCTTTCTTCTGTCAGATCAGTTTCAGGTTCTATTATGAACTCTTCAATGTTCTTTATTTCTCAGATTTATGTCAACATCTCCTGCACTCCGAAAAGTTTCAAATTGTTGTCCAAAGACAAGGGAAGACCAATTGGCATTCATTGTTTTAGGTCACTTCTTCTTGTGTTTGTTCTGTGAGGTGTTCATTATACTAACATAAAAATCTTTCAGAAAGTGTTTGTTATCCGATTTGTTCGTTAACTGATCACCCACTGTATAATGGTTTTCTTGACAAATCTACTAACTAAATGAAGAATAAACTTGAACATATGACTGTTTTAGGTTAAGTTTTATTGTGGCTGTATACCTTGTGTTTTTTACGTATATTATTCTGTATGGTTTTAGTTTAATTTATATTCTATTTCTTTAAAATTATCCTTCTTTCCAATTTTCTTTGTTCATTTGTTTCGGACTTCCGAGAACTTGANATTAGATTACAAATTTTATTTAACATAGAAGAAACTACGTGTTCGGTCCTAAGGTCAGAGTTCACTTCTTAGAATGAAGTGAACTCTGTGGTACTCTCCCCTACCTGACTTCGGTGGGGTGAGGTGGCTGTTTTGCCAATTTGTAGAAGAGGGTTGCCATTTTGTATTTTATTTTGATTCCATTCTCGGTCTTCTGACTACCTATGAGTCTGGATTTTTTTATGAGCAAATGATTTGGGCACCTAATAGTCTGTGCCAAATATCAACTCTTGACATGTACTCCTTCATACCTCTATGCTGGTAAGAACATCGGGCAGTACAGTTTTATAAACAAGACATAGTCTTGTCAAAAAGCTAATCTTATAAATGCTGTATATTATCTAATACAATAATAAAATGTTAATATATGAAAGTAAAGATATTATTTTTACTACATTTGTAATTATAGTACAGAAGAAACTCGTAGAATATAATCATTGTCTTTATATTGATATATCACGTATACAACCGTCTTCCGTTTCTACCAATTCACGTGCGAAGAAGTATTTACTTTCGACACTTGGGGCATCACTATCGATGTAAAAACTTTGTTAGCCGGACCTCCACCGCAATCCAGACACAAATGCAAATAGGTCACGTGAATGAAAGCTTTTATAGCGAGGGGTTTTACACCATTTTTACGGTAGTGGAGTCTTGGCCTTACTACATTCATTTATAAGTAATAATAAAAGTACATATACACAGAGTCTTGCATTTTTATTATTCATGTTTTTTCTGTTTGTGGGGGTTAAAGAATCTGTCTAATGTCAATTGCTTTTCTCTCTTTTTCAGAAGTAATTAATAGCATTTTCGTTGTAGAGATCCCTATGCCTATTAACCTCAACCTG